AGGTTAATTCTTAATTAGGAGCAGTTTTGCTGCTCAGGGCACGTCCGTTGGCCCTGGGCGACCCGCAGGCATCGTTTTTATCCTTCACGCGGATCGCAGAAGACTCGGTTGTTTGAGGCCATGGACGGACTTTCATAAAGAAAAAAGGCTATCAACAGTCCAGGGACCGTGCGAAGAGGATGAAGCAGACACATGTAACCAACGAAGGCGGTTACAGACAATAATTAGTTAATACCTTCGACAAAGCCATCGTTTAAGTCGAGGACAAGGGGCCTGCCCGCCCAGTCGAAAGTCGACAGGAGCCGAAGAAAACGCAGAAAAGTCGCCAGTGGAGAGGCCGAGGAGAGCGCAGCCTCATCTTCCTCCACCACACCAAAAGGAACTTCCTGAAGTGTGCCTTTGACGGGTTTCGTAAAGAAACCTGCGCGCACTACCATCAACTCCACCGCGATCTCGGAGAGGCGGAACTCTGGGGAGAAGTCGCTGTCGCCGAGGAGGGACAGCGGACGACTGGCGGGTAAACCACGGGGCTCGCTACCCAGGTCCGGACACCGGACTACTGGCAGACCGTGGCCAGACAGCCAGCGTTTGGCCAGTCGACAGGCCTCTGGAAAAGTGTTGAGGTGTACTCGCGAGACCGTGTTCAGTTGGCTGGCGACCGCTGGCAGCTTCTCATTAAAAAGCAACCAACGCTGGAGGTCCACCGGTGTGCGTAGGGCAGCAGTGGTGCCCGCCGACAGAGCCGTTGATGGAGACTGCTGTTTACTACGGGCTTGTTTCGAATTGGGAAGAAGGCCTGTAGCCCGCTTCAATAGCAGAAGCTCCAGTGGTTGGTAAAATGACACGCGTAGGACCAGGCCACCCTAGGCGGAGGAAAAGAAACTGAGAGAGGAGCAGGGTGGGTTCGGTGGTTCAAAAGTGAGAAGTCTACAGAGAAATAGTTTGCACGGCAAGTCTACTAAAGACACATTTATTCCTACTCGTGCATTTTTCCCAGATCTTTATCATGCTCTCACCAGAAAGGACTGCTTCAAAATTGAGTTGGACTTACTTACTTGTACTTGAGGCGGCTGCGATCATGCCTGATCTAGCCGGCCTCGATGATGTCCCGAATTGTACCTCTCCACGCGTGACGATCAGCAGCAGCAGATCTGGACAGCTCAACCCATTCCCTTCGTCAACGACGTAGACCGAATACCTAAGATCCAAGAACCACCTCCATGTCTTGACGAACTGTGCCAAGCCAGGTTTTGAACTGACCCCCTCTTCGATGCCTCCAATGGGCAATGGTGCCGGATCGAAAGCAGTAACACTGAGCTCCTGAGGTGGACGACGAAGAACATGCCCGAACCACCTCAGTCGTCTTTCTTGGATGGCCTGAGTTATCCTTGCGAGGTTGTTGCAGCGAGCGCGGACTGTCTCATTTGAGACGAAGTCGGTGAACTTCATTCGAAGAATGGTCCTCAAGCAGTGGTGGTCAAATACCTCCAGTTTTCGCTCATCCTCCACGCGCAAAGCCCAGCATTCACAATCGTAGAGAAGGACAGACCGGACAACTGCACGGTACACGCGAATCTTAGTGGCTATGGAGAGGTCACGTCGGTTCCACAGGCATTTCCGAAGGCTTGAAAAAACCCAGCAGGCAGCATCGATTCGGGAGACAATGTCGTCCTTACTCTGTCCATTAGGCAGCAGCCGCGCCCCGAGGTATTTAAAACTGTCCACTTCTTCAAGTTGACAGCCATCAATCCCCAGGGGTGCCTTCTCCTGGTCAGGAATGCAGCTTGAGAATACTTTGGTCTTCCCAGCGTTTATGGACATACCGGCCGATTTAGCGACCTCGTTCACCCGTGACACGACAGACTGCAGATCACCAAAACTTGAAGCAAGTAAGGCTATATCATCGGCATAGTCGAGATCAGTCAGTCGATGTCCGGGTGCAAATTCAACACCGTCACTCTCGCGTAGGGCCCTCCCGAGTATCCAGCCAATAGCATTGTTGAACAGTATGGGTGACAGTATACAACCCTGTCGGACGCCAGACCGAATACCGAACGGTTGGGAAAGATTGTTGCGGACCAGGACTCTCGCAGTAGTGGAACGATAGTAGGCCTTGATCATGGCGATGATTTTGGCCGGTACACCATCTAGAGCCATTATCCGCCACAGGGACTCACGGTGAACGGAATCGAACGCGGCGGAAAAGTCAACGAAGCAGACGGCCGTCGGTTGTTGGTAGCTATGGTGAAATTCGAGAATGCGCCTCAGTGTGAATATCTGATCTGCGCATCCACGTCCAGCACGAAATCCGGCTTGGTTGGGCCTCGTCCTTGAGTCACGCACAGCCTGGAATCGCCTGAGTAGAACAATAGCGAAGATCTTCGCAGCAACGTCGATGAGACTTATGCCGCGGTAGTTCTCACATCTCGTCTTATCTCCCTTCTTGAGGATAGGTACAAGGATGCCTAAGTCCCAGTCATCAGGAACAACCTTGTCTCTCCACGCTCGTTCAATCACCTCATGGAGCCAGAGCGCCAGAGTGTCGACACAAGACTTGAAGATTTCAGCGAGTATACCGTCCTCTCCGGGTGCCTTATTGTTGCGCAACTTTCTTATGGCATCGGCGACTTCTCCTTCAGAGGGAGGGGGGGGAGGCTCGCATGGCACTGCATAGGTAGGAGAGGGAAGAAACTCCGCTGAAGAGGTGAGCAAGGGCGAAGTAGGTTGGGTGTCGAAGTTGAGATGATGCTCAAAGTGCTCATGCCGGAGCTCGAGTTTGACCGAGTTGTCAGCAATAAAGCCGCCGTTCACGTCGCGAACAGTCACTCAGTGTAGAGGGCTTACCGCTAACTTGGCGGATCAGTTGGTAGAGCTTTCGAGTGTCACCAACGTTCGAGGCCTGTTCCATGGACCATTGCAGTTGGCTCAGGGTTCCGCAACCCTTATCATCATACATCCACTGCAGACAACTGAGAAGCACCGACTCCGCAGGCACTAGGGACAAAGTCAATTTCAGTGCGCCCGACGAACTGAGGAAATGCCCTAAAAGTGAAGCTTTGGGGGAACCGCACGCTCCCTTACGGTATGAAGTCAGCCTCAGGGCAATGATGTCCTGCATTCACCGGTGCAAGTGGAATTCGACAAACTAGCCCTTTTCGTTTATAAGATGACAAGGGAAAGACCGCTTCACACTAAGCAACCCACCAGGAGGAGCCTCGTTTTGTCAACATGAACAAGCTAGGAGAGATGAGCTGGAACGGTAAGTAATTGGATTGCAAGGCGTCAAAACGTGGATCTGCCGTTATCTGGTAGGCCGGAGAAGTAGAGACCGTGCATCACGATGGCCTGGGACACGATCCGACGCGGCATCCACGCGTTGTCTTTTTGATGGGAATTATCGTTACGTCCCTCTCATTGTGTCCGCATTTATTGCGCATCCAACCCTGAGTGAATGGCAGGAGGCGAGAACTTTAGGAGCATGTGTATTCTGGGTCGCACAGGTGTTGGGTGAGTGTATGAGCGCCAGTCCGAGGCCGGTCTGTCCAACTGTGATTAAATGACAACCACTGCCCCCTCCCCCTCACAAAAAACCAGACAAAACCGCTGTTGCGTCAGACCAAAATGCGGGCCGCATTTGCCCAAGACCCAGGAAATCGTGATCTCCTGATGACGCAACTAAATACAGCCTGGATCGTAATAATAAACTAGTTTACTAGTGAGGCTGTGCCTAGGCGCCAGACTATCTTGCCTTTCCCTACCTATTCCTCATTCTTGAACTTACTGGTTGTTTAGCTGAATGGAATGAACACAACTCGACGCGACGCGCTTCGCATGAGTGCGATTGTCAGGTCGTTTGACTTTTGATTATTAATTCTTTCATAACTCTGGTCTTATCCTGATTTTCATAGTCTGGGATTGACGGTTCTGTCTTTAGCGCTCGCTACCGTGGTGACCCCGACGTGATCTCTCTTCTCTCAGTGGACTTGTTTCTTCCCTCCCAGACTTTTGACAACATGCGCCAGGGCTTTATTTTTTCCGTATTGAGGCGACTTTTCACTCCGCCAAGATAACACGTGAAACGGACAAGTTTTATAAGCTGGTCGAGGCTCTCCCTCCCACCATTCTTTCTCAAGTGCAGACGCTTCTGAGAGATCCCCCGACTGATGCTCCCTACACCAAGTTAAAGGCTGAACTTATTCGCCTGACATCAGTCTCCGATCGGCAGCGTTATCACACACACTAGTAAAAGAGGAGGCCTTAGGTGACCGCAAGCCGTCGGAACTCTTGCGTCGCATGCGTTCTCTGGTTGGGAACATGAAAATCGACGACAAGTTCTTTAAAGAGATGTGCTTAGAACGTCTGCCGACATCTGTACAAACAATCTTGGCCTCTGGCTCCGACGACCTAGAAATATCAAAGTTAGCGGAGATGGCTGACCGTATGATGGAGGTTGAGCGTTTGTCATCCCCGACGATTGCTCAGGTGTCCCAGCCTCTCAACGTGTCCACCTCTGACCTGGCTGAACTAAAGACACAGATTGCCCAGCTGTCAGCGACTGTTGCCGCTTTGCAGCTGCGCCGATCCCCCGGTCCCTCTCGACGTTCCTTCGGCCGTGACCATCGTCGTTCCCGCTCTCGCCCCAGGACCGCCAACCTATGTTGGTATCATGTCAACTATGGCGACAAGAGGCTGCGCTGTGTCCCACCCTGCTCCTTCAAGTCCACGCAGGGAAACTCCTTGGCCGGAGAGTAAATGCGGCCGAGCTCTCTGGCAACTCTACGGGTCGCACATTTTACGTGAGTGATAACACGAGTGGCAGGCATTTTTTAGTCAACACTGGCGCTCAGATTAGTGTTATTCCTCCCACGCCAGCCGACCAACGTTGCCCAAACCATGGTCTTTACCTTCAAGCCGTAAACTCATCCCCCATTACAACCTTTGGATTTCGATCCCTCTCCCAGGATATTGGCCTCCGGCGATTATTCCCCTGGATATTTGTGGTCTGATGTTCCCACCGCTATCCTTGGTGCTGATTTCTTGGCCGCCTTTGACCTTCTTGTGGATTGCAGACAACTTCGCCTCCATGATCGCGCAACTACCCTCACTGTCAAAGGATTTCCTCCATCCTCAGCTTCTAACCAGCTCTCCGTCCTTGACCCAAACCCTGACTCTCCATTTCGTAGACTTTTAGCAAAATATCCTACCCTCACTAAGCCCGATTTTTCTGACACCTCATTTCCCATGATATTGTTCTTCACATAAAAACGACTGGTCCTCCCGTTTTCTCTCGTCCCCGCCGTCTTGCTCCCGCGCATCTTGCGGCTGCTAAAGCAGAATTTGACCACATGCTGCAACTAGGGATTATTCGACAGTCTGACAGTCCCTGGGCATCTCCTTTGCACATGGTTCCTAAACCAAATACGGATGATTGGCGTCCTTGTGGCGATTATAGAGCCCTAAACAATATCACTATGCCCGATCGGTACCCCGTTCCTCATCTTCAGGACTTTGCTGGAGCCCTTTTCGGCAAAACCATTTTCTCGAAGATCGATTTGGTGCGGGCTTTTCATCAAATTCCGATTGCGGCTGAGGACATTCCCAAAACGGCAGTGACGACTCCTTTTGGCTTGTTTGAGTTCCTTCGTATGCCATTTGGTCTCTGAAATGCCTCACAAACTTTCCAACGTTTCATTGGCCGTGTTTTACGCGGCCTTCCATTTGTTTATGCGTATATTGATGATGTTATCGTCGCCAGTCGAGATGTCGAGGAACATCTCCATCACCTTACCCTGCTTTTCGACCGATTTCAGCAGTTTGGTGTCACCCTGCATCCTTCCAAATGTGTCCTAGGAGCCACTTCTCTTGAGTTCTTAGGTCACCTGATAGACTTAAACGGCATTCGGACTCTTCCCTCAAAAGTTGCCGCCATTCGGGACTTTCCACCCCCTACCTCGAAGCGTCAGTTGCAACGGTTTCTTGGTATGGTGAACTTTTATCGCCGGTTCCTACCGAACTGTGCTGATCTCATGTTGCCGCTCACCAACATGCTTTCTGGTCCCAAAGGTCCCCTCGAGCTGATTGGTGAAGCACTGACTGCTTTTGAGAGAATCAAGCATTCCCTTGCTGATGCCACCTTACTCACACATCCCGCTCCCGAAGCTCAGCTGTCTCTGATGGTAGATGCTTCGACCGTAGCCGTAGGTGCAGTCCTTCAACAACACCTTGCCGGTTCGACTCAACCACTTGCCTTTTCTCCAAAAAGCTCTTACCAGCTGAAACACGCTACAGTACCTTTGGCCGTGAACTACTTGCCATTTACCTGGCTGTGAAGCATTTCCGGCATTCCCTTGAAGGTAGTGACTTCACCGTTTTCACTGACCACAAACCGTTGACTTTTGCACTCCGTTCCCACACTGACAAACTAAACCTCCGGGAAATCCGCCAACTGGACTACATCTCCCAATTCACCACCGACATCGACCACATCGACGGGTCACGCAATGAGGTGGCTGACGCACTGTCCAGGCCCTCCATTGCTCATCTTCAACTTTCACCCGGGATAAACCTCGCTGAGATGGCCGCTGAACAACGCCGTGTCGGTCCACCCTGTGATGAGGATGTTTCTGGACTCCAACTTCAGGAACTACCACTGACAACTGGCAACGGCACCATCTTATGCGACGTATCCACCCCTTCCCATCGTCCATTTGTGCCACCATCTCTCCGCCGCAAAGTTTTCTCCTCCTTGCACAATCTGTCTCACCCTGGGAGTCGAGCAACCGACAAGCTGGTTTCCGATCGCTTCGTTTGGCCTGGTATGCACAAGGACCTCAAGGCATGGACACGGGCTTGTATCGCCTGTCAACGGAGCAAGGTCCAGCGGCACAACAAGGCCCCCATTGGCACCTTCCCCGGCCCTGGTTCAAGGTTCAGCCACGTTCACCTGGACATTGTAGGCCCCCTGCCTCTGTCCAATGGTTGTTCCTATCTCCTCACCTGTGTGGATCGGTTCACTCGGTGGCCTGAAGCAATTCCCCTGCCTGACATTGCTGCTCCAACGGTGGTCAAGGCTTTTCTCAGTCGTTGGGTTGCTATCTTTGGTGCACCCTCCACAATCACGACTGAGCGTGGTGCCCAGTTTGAGTCTAACCTATTCCAGTCTTTACTCTCCTTTTTAGGCTGAACTCGCATCCGCACTACAGCCTATCATCCGGCAGCCAACGGGATGGTCGAGCGGTTTCACCGCCAGCTGAAGGCCTCCCTACGCGCCGCGGCCGATCCGGAGAACTGGACAGACCACCTTCCCCCGGTCCTCTTGGGCATCCGCTCCGCTCTCAAGCCGGACCTTGACTGTTCCGCAGCTGAACTGGTGTTCGGCTCCACCGTCCGACTCCCCGGTGAGATGATCTCGCCAACCCCTCAAGGTGCAGCTGAGGATCCTACCAACCTCCTGCATCGCCTCCGGCAGTTTATGCGGACACTTTCTCCGGTTCCTCCCAGGTCCTCCGCCTCTCCGTCTTATCTCGAGAAGGACTTGGCAACGTGCTCTCACGTCTACCTTCGATGTGATCGAGTCCGCCGGCCTCTGAAACCGCCCTATGACGGCTTATTTCGGGTGCTCTCTCGCGGGCCGAAGACTTTCCGCATTCAGCGCGACAATCGTGAAGAGGTCGTGAGTGTGGACCGCCTCGAGGCTGCCGTCCCTGATACTCCTCCGGATGAGCCCTGTGGTCCTCAACCTTCTGCTTCCCCCATGCAGCCTCTATTCCACCGTCCCGTATTTTCCCTCTGCCTTCCTGTCCGCCATCTCCGACTGCCACCACCAACTCCAACACTTTCGCCACCAGATTTATTCACTCTTCTACGGACCCTGTATATATCACTCGCAGTGGTCGTCATGTACACTTTCCTGATCGGTTGGTCACTCATTTCTTTTAGACCTGTACACATCCTTCGGCGTCGTCTTCGCCGCCCTCCGGTCTCGGAGGGGGGTACCGTGCCTAGGCGCCAGACTATCTTGCCTTTCCCTGCCTGTTCCTCATTCTTGAACTTACTGGTTGTTTAGCTGAATGGAATGAACACAACTCGACGCGACGCGCTTCGCATGAGTGCGATTGTCAGGTCGTTTGACTTTTGATTATTAATTCTTTCATAACTCTGGTCTTATCCTGATTTTCATAGTCTGGGATTGACGGTTCTGTCTTTAGCGCTCGCTACAAGGTGACGATATAGTTCTCGAAGAAAACCTCGCCTGCCCAATGAAACAACCCAGTCAACTTTATGTTGCGCGTCTCTTTCAACAAACACCGATAGTCCTGGATCTTCAAATTAGGCCATACAATCTGCTGTGCGAAGCTTCATTAATTCCAGAAAAGATCGTTTACCAAATTTCGTCTGCTGACTGACCTCGTCAGGGGAGAGACTTACCAGGAAAATGTCGAGCATACCATTGTCGACTACACGTGAAGGAACGCCCTTGGGACAGAGTAGTTCATTCACGCGAAGAAGAAACAACCTCTTCATGTGCAAAAATGCATCTAGGTTGTCTCTTGGCCACTTCCCCGAGGACTCGATATTAATGATGACTAAAAGACAGAAAGGAAGTAAAGAGAATCGGTTGGCTTCTAAACAGAAGACTTGGTTTAAACGCACTGGGTCTGGGTGCATTCAAGTCACGAAGTATTCACCTTAAAAATTCTGTCTCCAACCGATTTCAAAAAAAAAAACAGGAGGTAGAGGCAAAAGACGCGGGCACTAACCAGAGCTCACGACTGGCTCTATCATAGGGAGGCCATAGATCACTGAGATGCCAGAGAGGTCTTCCCAACGAGACGGGAAGACGGGTTGCCGGGAAGACGGGTTGCCCGGGAAGACGGGTTGCCCCGGGAAGACGGGTTGCCCGTTAGCCTAGCTGCTGGCTACCCGGCGCGTCCACAGGTGGCGGATAGTGGGACGACCTTCAGTGAAGGTTAGCTGCGAAATAAGCAGA